TAAATACCCGGTGCTGTTGGCAATTATCATACCGCAAGTCTGTGGAAATCAAACACAAATTTAGTTAACAGCTAATTTTATTGAGAGAGAGAGAGTTTAGCGCAGAATTGTTTTTAGTCACATATTCTTGAGAAAATAGACACAGAATATGATTTAATGTCTATGTTTATGAAATGTTTATATACAATAGCTATGGATAAACTTATTGTATATTCAAATTTAATTACTCGGTAAAAATGTTAAACTATCAATTCTTACAACATATGCAAACAGGTGAACGCGAATTATTACATTTCTAAATACAACAAAAAATATACAAATGTATCTAAAAAACATTTTGTCCTTGAATTATATATGAATTCAAGGATCACACAGCGATGCTATACATTAACCACAATTCGGGTATTGTTCAAAGAATAGATTAGCATTATCTATATATTTAATACAAAGTCCATAGGATTAGCATTAGGGTCCATGAAGATCATTGACTAATCATAGACCTAACATTTTAGGCCAAACATAATATGGTATATATTCAATGTCTGTCAGTGTAGTGAATACAAGTCTTTGACATTGTTTTAGTAGGCATTCACAACGGAATCGTTTGTCAAATATGAGAAATGTTAGCAAAACTTCACACAAATCGTCGCCAAATCTGTCGAAACAGTCCTTTGGATATCTAATTGAAAAATAATTGTACAATAAATTGCAAAATTGAATAATTGTTAATTTAATTTATATGCATTATTTCAATTTGATATAATAGCTACCTATAATAGTATGCATACAGTTTGTCAAAATTATTAAATTAAATTATAATCATTTGTGATAAAAATTAACTAAAATAACAAATCCAAATAAATAGTTAAAGTAAACAAAATTTTAATTATTTTAAATTAAAATGACATTTAATATTAAACTTAATAATATTTAATTATATCTAACAGAATACTATATTTGCTAGATACTTTTTAAAATAATAATTAAACAATATTTATATAGAATACAAAAATATACAAAAATTTAATTTATCTTAATAAAAGTAACTTAATATGAATAATGATAGCACTATTATTTAATTAATCCTTGTATAGTACCGCAAAACACATCACTGTGTTCGCCAATAAGTCGGGCTCTAAGTGTGGCTTGCAACTGTTATCAAATAACCAACATACATTATAATTATATTGAACTGTAATTAGTCAAATATTAAATTAAACTTGAAAATCATACTGGTGGAAAATTAGATGGTATGTGCAGTTTGTAACTGAATAGATTGTTTTGTCCACTTGTGATGGGACAGGTATTGTCGTGACAACCGTCTGTATTAAACCCTGGTATTAATTTATTAAGGTCAATGTCTAGAGCGCCGGCTAAAGCATGAAGGTACCATTTGGCCGTGGTTGAATTTTGGTCTATTTAATGCATGCTTAATTAATCATTATAATTATCAACATGGTTAATTATATAATTAAATACAAACCGGCTGTATAAGTGATATTAATGGTAACGTCGGTACTCCTAACGAAAAGACATGGACTGGCAGTACAGTCACTAATTTGGAGGCCGGATATCAATCCATTACCTAGAGCATAATAATTATATATTTAAAATAAATTAACATTAAGGTAATGATTGAATAAATACCGCAATCAGTGAATTGAATGCCCGCTTCGACCACTTGGTTGTGGCAAACTGTCAAAAGTATGGCAACACATAAACACAAGAATCTAAACATTTCAACTAATAAATAAATTTTATAATTATTATAATTTAAAATTTTGTAAATTAAATTTCTGACATAATACGGTATTTATGCAATTAAACTACACATAAAAATATAAACATATGGTTAGTAAATGTTGTTGGTTTTAATTATTATTTAATTGAATTTTATTGTTTGTAAATTTATATTTTATGTGTTTATATTTGTGAGCAATTTGGACAAACAGGGGACGAGCGGTTGAGTCGGGCCGCAAACCAATGACACAAAGTGTGTGTAACAGTAAAGGTTGCGGGTATTGCACAATACGGCACCCGTCGTCCTCCGTTCTGCCGGTGACACAGTGTGTGTGCATATGATTAGCACAAAAACACAAAAATAATCAAAATGATTATCATTTTATCAAATGAACCATTTATTTATTTTTAATACCGGTAAATATTTTGTATTTAATTTGATATTTATTGTACTCTTTTCGATATAACTAACAGTTAAAAGTTATTAAAATAAATAAATAAATAAAAATTTGCTTTTTGTTTAAGTGTTTAACAATTTGTATAGAAATATAACATACTTTGAGAATACAGTAACTTTTTTTTATAAAGAAATAGACAATTTATAAAAACAACAATAAATTCAACGGTTTCTTCAAGTGGTTTATGTTTCATCTGAATTGAGATAATGTGATGTAAATGTGATACTCTTATTGTCATGGATTGTCTCAATTAAATCCAACCTTTGCTTTCGTCTCAAGAATGACAAATTGAATTCATTTGCTCTCATAATGAGTACAATCAATGCAAGCAAACGCCAGAATATCAAATGACCTGTAAATCCAAGTAATTTACAAATGAAACAAAACGTGACAAAAAATTGCATTCTTAATTAACAATACCTATAATCCAATACATATTTTCTTTCATCTGAGTGTCGCTGAGTTTCAACTGATGTAAAAGTATAGGCATTTGAGATTCACTGCACCGATCAAAGCCATAAAGTGTAATGAGAATGGACTCAAAAGTGATCTTGATGAATGACAGATAACTGGCACCCCTGACAATGGCGTGTTGTATGGTTAGGGGCACGAAGAAGCCCGACAACAGAACCAGCACCAGGAATAGCGCCACACCCGAAGTGGTGGCCACTTGATAGTTACGGGCGAATATTATGCCCATTAAATACCCGGTGCTGTTGGCAATTATCATACCGCAAGTCTGTGGCAATCAAACACAAATATAGTTAACAGCTAATTGTATTGAGATAGAAATCCTAACCGTAATGAGTGTAAAGTAGATATATCTGAATGTCTGGTCCGGTTGTCCGGTGCCGTAGTATATGATGAATGAGTAGATGTAAGCGATGAGCACTGAGACGGGTATTTCGACCATTAATTTGGCCCAAAAGTAGGAACTCGTTGAATACCACTTATTGTGGTGTTCGTTGAGGAATATACGGACCTCTTGTGGGAACACAAGTATAGTACAGGCCATCGACACGAACTGCAAGAACGCGATGCCGAAGAACTGGCACTTCAGGTTTAGCAAAGCCTTTGACTCCTGGCTTAAGATACGTAACGCCTGTTCCAGTGATGTAGTCATTGATGACGTCTCGTTAGAAGCAAAGAGGTTCAGACAACTGGTCTCGTGGCCAATGTCTGTACCGTAGAGATAGAGCAGAAACGCCGATACACTGAATGAAAATATAGCCAGAGATGCGCTAACTCGCCATTGGTATCTCACCTGAAGATATTTTTATAACAATTTAATAAATGAATGGTTTTTAGTTGATTTTACTTACAAAACAAGTGATTCCACGGCATAACAGGTAATAAAAGTGATACAAATGAAAATATTTCGTTTGTTTATCAATAGTTTTGGACAGTTTGCCACTCATTAGACAATCTTCTTTGAATTGTTCCGATGGTTTCCATGAGCTCTCTATAAGTTTATCAATTTCATTGCTTTCCAACACAAGTGTTGTGCTCACACTTTCCTCTGTATTTATGTTATTCTGTAAAACAGATATTTGCATAAAATTTAACTATTATTCTGTGTATTTTGTAATATATGTTGAATATATACTGACATTTAAAGTGAGTTCCCTTTTCTTAAAGACAGAGTTTGGAAATTTTGATGATATCTTCAACAAGAGCTCAATTGGAAGGATATCTTCAGCACAAGTAATGCCACAATTGTTGAGATGGTCTTTGAGATGATTGGGTCGTCCGGCGAACACACAGTGACCGCCCTTTGAGAGCACATATAACTGATCANCCGGCGAACACACAGTGACCGCCCTTTGAGAGCACATATAACTGATCAAACATTGAGAGGAGCAGAGAGTTTGGCTGATGTATTGATGTCACGATTGCCATCCGATGTCTCTCTGATAGCTGTTTCAAACATTGGATTACCTGTGAATTCGATACAAAGGAGTTTTAATTTATATATTTAAAAATAAATTATTTATTGAACTTAATTATACTTATTGTAATTCTTATTTAATATAAATAATTAAAAATATTTAATTATAAAAATATAATTCCCCTAACTGTATGGGGCATTTATATTTTATTGCAATAGATACATATATAGAATTGCCTCAGGGCATATATTGATTTGCATTAGCCAAAGTGCCAGAATTTAATTTAACATATGATTACATACAATATGTTTTAAATAATTTATGATAAAACTACAAATAAAACTTTTAACACCACTAAATTATTTTATGGTAATTTCAAGGATGTATTGAACTATTCATAGCAATACAAAACTAGCTATAAATTTAGTTTTTGGACACTATATTTCAGATACAGCATTACATAATATTAATATCATAAATTACTTCCATACAATTCTATATACTGTACAGTATTTTATAATACAATGAATGAGACATTCTTTAATTTTCTTATAAAATCATATAATTTCAAGTAATAAATTAATATAAAACAAACAGACAATAAATGAATTAAATAATTAGATATTACATACAGCAATTTATGAGAGGAAACATAAATAACACTTTCAAGAGTTAAATTTAAAACTAAATTAACAAACAATTTAAGAAGCACATGGTAATTCAATGATAGAAAAACAATAATAATAAAGCACATTAACAATACAAATTCAAGCATTTAAATATTATTTATGGAAAAACATAAATCCCAATTAGATTTTTCAAAAATCGTAAGTAAATGAATATTAATTAACATAAACTCTAAATTTAAATAATGATAAAATATAATACTAATGATAATAATGTAAAGTATTTATATATATTTTATGTAAAATCATACCATCTCTGAGGCATTGCTGTCGAGACCACTGGTCGGCTCGTCTATACACAAGAGATTTGGCTTATTTTGTTGAACTAATTCCAGACCAACTGATAGGCGCTTCTGTTCGCCACCACTGCATGTCTGGACACTATTGCCGGCGCAGTCCTCCAGAAGCAGTTCCGATAGTATTCTCCGAACATTTAAGTCGTGATCAAAGGACCCCTTTTTATCGCAGGGATCGCCGCAATCGGTGAACGACGAGCCGCTGATCTCCGACTCGTTTTCCGGACACGAGTCCAGACATAACAGCGAACTTCCCGTCTGAGCGTAACTGTCCCTAAATTTTGTCCGCGTTTTGCCGTAATTCTTGATTTTTGACGCAAATAATAGCGATTCTCTACGAAAATGTCAGAAATTTTTCAATTTATTGATTATAAAAATAATTGTGTGTAAATTAAATGGAGTGCAAAATTATGTGTGGTATTTATTCAGTAATAGTGTGATATATTTCATTCAATTAGATTTATTTAAAATTATTTGTGAATTATTAATATTTTAATTAATGTTTCGTTGCGAGCATTTACTTGACATTCATTATACATATTGGACTATAATTTAATTATTTAAACAGTTGATTAAAGTGAGAGCACATAAAATATCATCATTAACTTATAGATGCATACAATAGATGTAATGATAATTTAATGAATAGTATTTTGGCATTTTATCAATGCTTAAGCACCGGTAGTATACTATTGTACACTATTTTCACTACTAACACACATTTTATGGTATTTTTAGATTTCAATCTAACTTGTAAGATTAACAGCCAATGCTATTAATAAATGTAAATATTATCTAAAATCTATGGTTGAAAACATAATAAATGAAATTTTTAAAATAATTTTTCATAAAACTCAATTTCAATATGTTATGATTTATTGTTAAATATAAAATAACATGATCAAATATTGAACATATTTTTCATTTTTCATTTGGGAATTCAGTCCATATTTACTGCCCTTGAAAGTCGTTGGCGTGTTTAGTAGTTAGCAGTTTTGGTAAATGTTTCCCTATAATTATATTAAACCATAAGGATGTTAACCATTGTATGTGGTATAAGATCACAACCTTCAGCCACTAACTCATTACCAGTATAAAGTATAATTGGTTATTAAGAATATACATAATAAGTAATTAAATTGCTTATTGTCGAAACATCTAGGTGTGAAACCGTGATCTTGAACTAGGGCTAAATCTTATACACGTGGTAAATAAATGTTAATGTATTAAACTTGATAAATTAGTTAATTTTTTGATACAAACATAAAATTCTTTAGTTTTTTATAAAATAAAAACCTTCGGATTTTTAGAAAAAGTCAAAACCATGTCTTACCTGACGGTTAAACCCATGAAAAGATGTTCATCGGATGATTGCATTATAAAACAAGTCCTCAAATCCGTGTATTTATTGACAAACATCTCTGTGTCAGCCGTGAGGCCAGAGTTGGAGCGCATATTAACGCATTTCAAAAGTGTGGTCTTTCCCGCACCCGACGGACCCATTAGTGCCGTCAATGTATGGAAATTGATTTGACCGCTAAGTGAATACAGGATTGTCTTGTTTTTGCCGTAACACAGAGCCGGGTGGACACAACTCAAGTTATTCCAGGCCATCGCCAACTCATTCTTGTGAGTATAGTTTGCATTCATTTTCTTGCGATTAAAAATGTTGTGTCACTCGTAGACCAAACCTCTAAAACTGTTATAAATAATCAATAATTGTAACAGAAATACATACAAAGAATATTTTGCAAATATAATTTAACTTTTATATAAAATATCAAACACGGAAATTCTTGATATGCTGTAGTGTTTGTTTAAAACATCAAATACTGTCAACATTAAAATCAAAATCGATATATTCTTACGATTATTTACAATTATTTTGTAAGCGTTTTGATACAAAGTTTGGCGAAAACCACACAAAAAACCATTAGTTTGTGTGCACTTATATATAAACTATTATAGAAAATGAACTTTAAATTCAGATAACACTAAACAATTTTGTCATTTGCAATGATATAAATAGCGTAAAGTTTTTAGGAGTATATAAACTAAATATATATTTAATGTATGGGATAAAAAGATAGATGGTAAAAAATGATAAATGACTTGGGATGTATTGTAAAATCAATTGTGTGTAATAAAAGTCTCGTTTTATTTAATACTTAATCAAATCATTTGACACTCAATTCACTTAAACATATCAGACATAATAGAAAGTAAATAAATTGTACTCACATTTCAATAATTGGTTCGGTTTTCGCCAAACAATTCAATTGAGACGTCTGTTAAATGTAAAGTCAAATAAAGAGACTCTACTTTACGCCAAAGCATAAACAGGAGAAAAAAATTAATTATTTTAAATGGAAATATAACTATTAGTTAGTGCAATATTTGTCCGTATTTACCAAGAATTATTTTATAGAATTTTAAACAAGTTCAATTTAATACATATATGAATTCTGGATGGATGTCAAGTAAATTCTGGTAATAAAGCAATACTTTTTGGTAGAGTTTCTTTTTTGAAATAAAGCGTTTGTTGAGAGAGTTTAGCGCAGAATTGTTTTTAGTCACATATTATTGAGAAAATAGACACTTAATATAATTCAATGATATGTTTATGAGATGTTTATATAGATATGGAGAAACATATTGTATATTCAAATTTAATTACTCGGTAAAATTTTTTAACTATTAATTCTCACAACATATGCAAACAAGTGAACGCGAATTATTACATTTTTTAAGTACAAAAAAAATCTATCTAAAAAACTTGTTGTCCTTGAATTATATATTAATATTTTATAGACTATAAGTTAAAGCTATATACAGTATATTCTACTAAATGAATAAAATAAATAACACGGATATCTATTATATACTAAACAATTAGCTATTAAAATAGCAATTTGTGTCCAGAATTGTTTAATAAGTAAATTATTGTCAAATTATGATAATGTTTATATTTGTAGATAA